GGAAGAAGGTACTGAGAATGGTGCCTGGGGTCTGCCAGGTACAAGGATACCACAAGCACCCTTTGTGGCTGTGGGGAGTGGAACTGTCCTCGAGCCACAATATCAGAGTAAGAAGCTACAGAAACCTGCAGAATTTTTGGTATTTTATACTCGCAGATTTATTTCCTCTCTTTTTGTAATATTTTGCAAGACCCATGATTCAGGGTAAGAAGTATCCTAACACTACATAGATGTAGCACTTGTGTTCCTCCCCAACAGCTAAGCATTTTTTTTGAGATTTAGTATTTCTGTTGTTTTTATTTTTTTTAACTTATATACATGTATATACAGAGATATAAGAAACTTTTCTCTCTCCTGCTTTCTCCTCCAACTTGGATTCTTGTAGCAAAGAAAGGAAGAAAAGACCAAAGCAATCTTTTGGGAAGTTGAGGATTTGTTAAGAAAAAAATGGACTGAAGAAAATGTCTCGATCTGTAGCCCACATTCACCCATCTCCCTACCTAAGTCTGACTTCTTAAGTCTCTACTGGAAAACCTTTGATGCTCTTCCATCATCACAAAGATGCATTTAGGGTCCAGCACGATAAGGTAGTGGTTGAAGTCCTCGCCTAGAAAGAGCTGGGATCCCATATCGACGCTGGTTATAATCCCGGCGGCCCTGCTTCCCATCCAGCTCCCTGGTTGTGGTCTGGGAAAGCAGTCGAGGATGACCCAAAGCCTTGAGACACTGCACCCACATGGGAGACCCAGAAGAGCTCCTGGCTCCTGGCTTCAGATTGGCTCAGCTCCAGCCTTTGTTGCCGCTTGGGGAGTGAACCATCAGACGGAAGATCTTCCTCTCTGTCTCTCCTCCTCTCGGTCTCTCCTCCTCTCTATATATCCGCCTTCCCAATAAAAATAAATAAATATTTAAAAGCAATAAATACAAGGATGCATTTAACAAATTCTTAGAAGAAATCTGTATGCAGAGCATCAGAGCCACATGATCTTTCATCCATTGTTTCCTCGTGTCAGGTAAAAGGTGTGATTAGTGTGTCATCATGATCCCCACATCCCCAAGCCACAGGCAGAGTATCAGCTATTCCTTCTAAACTGGACCCAGTGTGCAGGTACCACTCATCCCAGTGTCCTCTTTCAGAAATGTATGCAGACTGGGTAAGCTACTGTCAGACGTAAGTCCATGGAGTACATGGATCCTGACACCACTGAGGTCCTCATAAGATTGCAATTAAACTAGAGATATTTGTCTTTCCCTAACCTCTATGTTCAGGAAGCGTTTGATTCTAATAAATTCCTGGTCTCGATGTTGCTCCTGAAACCACCGTCTGAGGTTAGAAAAGCTTCCAGTCTTCACACCAGCCCACTGCAATGTGACAAATATTGAGCAATTAGTAGAAGAACAGTGCAATGTCCAAGTGTTTCCAAAATGCAGAAGGCTGTAGAAAAAAGACACTGAGATACATTCAGGCCTCCGCGTACAAATCAGGAGTATTTTCCTATAAGATGGCATTTTTGAGGGCTAGCTTTTGAAAAGCTCCACGAGTTGTTTCCAGTCTGATGGAGCCATGCTTAAACCATCCTTTCTTTTAAGTTCTGTTTAATCACATGTGAATGAGCATGTGTTCTTTTGCATTACCATTTGAAGAAACTTTTGTTTTTCAGTGTAAGCACAGAAGTGCCATGTTTTTATTGGATCGCGGAGAACAATCCTGACTTGTGAGAATCCTGATGGATTTCCCTGTCCCCCGTTCTCTTCATTCTCTTCCAGCACTGTGTCAAGTTAGGCCTTATTTATTTCACCATGACTCTTTCCTTGGATTCACTAAGAACTGTGATAAACTAGTAGTTCTCAGTTCTCAAGGTTTGTTTATGTCTAATGTACAAATAACTGTTGAAAAAACAGCAACAAGATCTCAATGAAACACTATTACTTTAACCTAACACAATTCAACATTTGGTGAAAATTGTGTCCATATTTCAAATACCATTTACATTCATTAGGTCCCATATTCAGTTGATATTTTTATCTACTAAGTTTCATTTTATTATGCTAATTCTAGATAGGCACGGACTTTGTTTTCTCATAGGTTTGTATTTTGCACTTTCTGAACTTAAAATTATACTTTTACTGTAAACTAATTCATATTCCCTATTACTAGTTATAGTAAATTCCTCAACTAAGAATTTCACTGTCTTTTATAAAACAAAAACCTAAATTGATTCACCTGGAACATGCACAGACCATGCACAGTACAAAGAAGCAAAGGAAACTTGAGGAATGGTTTGACAGTTTTTAGACAAATGATGCATTTCAGAACAGCTTTTGACAGATATAACTTTCTAGTTGGCTTTTCGCATATTCTTCCTGATATCAAGAAATATGATTCATCCTTTTCTACTTTCTTAGTTTTTAAAGATTTATTTTATTTATATTTGAAAGGCAGATTTTACAAAGAGAGGAGAAACATAGAGGTCTTTCATCTGCTGGTTCACTCCCCAAACTGCCTCAACAGCTGGAGCTGAACCAATGCGAATCCAGGAGCGAGGGCTCAGGAACTTCTTCCGGGTTTCCTATGTGGGTGTAGGTTTCCACAGTTTTGGGCATCCCTCACTGCTTTCACAGAGCATAAACGGAAAGATGGATCAAAAGTGAAGCAGCTGGGACAGGAATTGGCACCCAAAATGGGATGCCGGTGCTGTAGGGCTGAGGATTAATTTGATACACCAATGTGCCAGCTCCATTTCTTTTTACTTTTGCAATGTAAAATTTTACACTTTATTTAAAAACATATGTAAATACCTAACTAAATGTAATAATGTTTTTAAGAGCACTTTCTTTAGTGGCATCACTTCATCAATTAATGATTTTGGAACTCAAATTTTACTGTAGAGTAAAAGTAAAGAACATTAATTTTTTTTAATTTAACCACAAAAGCCATTGCAAAACACCATAGAACTTTTTGGATACAAATATCAGGATTGTGCTGTTTGAGATGCATGAATGGGTCTTCAAACACCTTTAGAAGTAATGGGTAAAAACTACATTGTTAGCATCAAAATTTTTGAACCAAAATAAACATCTTTTTATTCCATTTTTTGACAAAATTTTAAAGACTCTTATTACATGCAGCAAAAAGGAAAATTAATTCAATGTTTTATAATTTTATGATAAATATATACATGTATAAATACAGATATATATATTCATGGTTATACCCAACATCCAACATGGTCCCCAGTGATTCTCACCCCAAGATATCATATCTTGACATGATTCCAGTTTTGTAGCATGGTGAGTCTGTATGACCAATAGCATGTGGGAGAAATGAGGTCACTTCCAGGGTTACATCATAAAAGTTTGCAGCTTCCATTTAGGCTCTCTCTCTCTCTCTCTTTTGTTCCCTCAATATCATCTTTCTGGAGGAAACCAGCTACCATTTTGTGAAAATGTTCCAATATCCCATAGAAAGCCCCAAATGATGAGAACAAAGCCATTACTCAAATTTCGGCAAGAAACAGAATCCTCTCCACAGTCCTGAGCATGCACTCAGCAGCAGATCTCCAGCCCCATTACAATCTTGAGATGACTACAATCCTGGTGACAGGTTAATTGCAACCTTAAAAGCACCCCAACTAAACCACCCCCCAGAACCTGACCCTTGGAAACTCTAAATAAATATTAATTTATTAAGATGTTGATTTGGGGATAATTTGTTAAACCACAATAGCTAGTTAATTCCAATGTGGAACAAGGAAGAAACCTGCATAATCTTTTTATGTATTTAACATTTTAAAACTTCAACTTCAAATTAAAACTATATGATAATATTGGGATCTGCCCCTGTAATTTCTGTTCCTAAATACATGATGAGATTTTAAATTTTAAATTAGATGTTTAGAAAAAAAAATCACACAATATCATCAAGAATCGTAAGGTAGAATTTAAATATTTTCTAGGAAATGCTCATTGTCCCACAAAAGCGTTCATTTCAGGATGACATCTTGTTAATGTGATTCACTTATTTCAGAAATAAAATAAAATGACCTGTGCTTTCCAGAAGGTCATGTTTATACAGTACTGAGGTTAATGTCAGTGCTGTAGCGATGATGAATGTTCTGACCTGGCCTAGCAGTAAAGATGGCTGTATCCATACTGAAATTTCTAGGCTAAAATTCTTAATTCTGGTTCCTGATTTCCAAATATCGTAAGCCCTGGGAATCAATGGTGATACCTGAAGTAACTGCATTCCTGTCGCCTACTTGCTAAATCCAGTTAAGTTTTAGGCTCCCAACTTGAGCACTTCCTTCCCTCCACAGCCATTGTGGACATTTCAGGAGTGAACCAAGAGCTTCTTCCTTGTGTCTTCTCAAAAAAAAATCTCTACTTCACTAAGTTGCATGATGTCGATCAATTCAGCTGTTCCAAAAAAGAACATTTAATCCAAATAAATACCGTAAGTTTAGAATGGTAACTACTTGGAATCCTAACTACACATGATGTTGTGATCTGGTAATTTCACCATCAATCCACCGACAGTTCTCTCTAAAAGTGTCCGTTAGAGACTTGAGAAGCCAGGCCAGTTGGGTATTGGTATTTAACAACTTATTTTAATTCAAAAAATCAGGTTATGGTTGGAAAAATGGTGTTGGGAGCAGGGAGAAGAGAATTCGACTTTGTATGAGTTCCAAAGTCCAAGGCCTAGGTGTGGGAGGGCTGGTTTCATCCGGAGGCTCTGCTCCTGGCTTGCTGATGTAACATTGTGATGGTTTTCTTCCTCCGTGACTTTACATAATCTCCTCTCTGGAAAAGTCCATATTCCACACCCTAACCTCTTCTCATAATAACAAGTGGATTAGAACCCAACCTGAAAACTTTATTTCAAATCAATTACCTATGGCAAGGATGACTTTAAAATGTAAACTTTTTGGAACATTATTCATTCCATAGCAGAACTGAACTTGTATTGCTTAGCTATGCAATTAAGCAGAGTAGACAAATAAAAATTATTAGAAAGTTTAAGCATAATGTATTAAGAGATACATGTTATAATAGAGGAGGTAAGGATTTCAGACTTCAGTGAATTTTAGGATAGATTTGATATAATTTTTATTTCTTCTGCATAAAATATTTGTGATTCTTATCCTATGCAAACAGTCCAGTTCCAGGAAAGAACAACACTCAAGTCACTTTTAGATTAATATATATATTGGTGTGTGTTCTTCTGAACACGAATGTATATTTGTAATTCACATACATCAGACACCACTATTAGCAAAAGCCCAAACCAATCATTTTCTCATCCACCACTTCTTAAATTGTCCCAAGGAAAAGAAAGGAAATACGAATATTCTACCAGTATAATGAGCACAGAATACATGCCGAAACAGCAGCAAGGATGCTCAGTGTTTGTGCCGTCAAGTCTGAGGAAGCATTTAATGCCTGATCCTTCTCATACAACCTTCCAAACAGAGTTACTGTTAAGACAGGTCCAGATGTTGGCTTCAAGCTCATTAAACGTCCATCACTTGACACCTAATTAGAACACAGAAGACAGGCTCTATCTTTAAGAAGTAATAAAATAAGAAATAATAAAAATACTGATCCAATTCTGCTTTGCCAAAGATATTTTTTAATGGAGTTGTAGAATTAGTAGTATGTAATTTATTTACCCCAGAAAGCATTCCATGAGTTAATTAACATAAAACCATGGAGTTGGTAGTACATAAGACCGAAAGCTTTTCCTCTTGGACAATGTAAAAACTGACTCAAATAATCAGATTTTATTGAATAAGGAGAGATTGGCCTGAGCATCTTTCAATCCCTATCACTCCCAACAATCCCATTTTCCTTTCTCAGCAGTTCTCTATACCACAAAGGGGGCATGAGAGGAGATCCTGAAGGGGAAGTCAGTGGGAGAATGTGGCTGGGCAGACTCACAGACTCCAGTGCATTGTTTTGGGGCTTTAAAGTATTTGATCCCTTGCCAGCATCAGACCCTATTAAGCTCTCTATCTTTCAGCCTTCTGCTGCTCTTGTATTATGTCTTGAACCAGATAAGAGGGACTTTCTTCCCCTAGGCATAATTCCTTAGTTATCCTAGGGCCTGCTTCTGAAATGATTTTTGCTGAGTCTTCTTGCTACTTAGCAGGGCTGAAATCGTCCATCTTGCTGCCTAGAGTCCCCAAACAAGGTTCATTTCTTCATTCTGAGTGTATTAATTCACAAATTGTTACCCTAAGAAATCCAGACCTCATGATTCTTAAGGGCAAACTTTCCCTTTCCAAATGGAGATTTTTACATTTATAAGCACATGAGAAGGCTTTGACCTAAAAGAATTTCCTCTTACATGAAATTATTCTGTTTGTATTAGGCAAAGATTCTTACCTGGAATTCCCCAGGTGCAAGCTTAATCTCACTCAGCAACACCTCAGGGAAGACGTACTGGGTTCCAAAAGTACCACTAAGGGAGAACATATCAAACCTGGTGGAAGCTGTTTCAACTGAGTGTCCACAAGTGCGTAAGTCTGCCCTTTTACACTTCAGCAGGGTACAGATCTAAGGACATAATGCAAGACGATAAGTCACAAGAACCTCACAATGAATACACTCATTGGCTGGGCTTGATCATTCTCAGTAAGCAATGTATGTACATTGTTATATACCATACACATACACTTTTAAAATTTTTATTACACCACAATGAAACTGGGGTATAATTTAATAATATCAAATAAACTAAGACCCCAATGCTTCTGCAATTCATGTCAGAATGATTAACCTCTTAGAGTTCATGAGATGTTCGATCTACAGCCATGAAAATCACATTTTCACGTTAGAGCCTTTCACACTGGTGAAATCTGTCTTATGACTTATCTCACAAAATAAAAGAAATTCAGGGTAATAATGAACATTAGCAACAGCCCAAAGGCATTTCTGGTAACCTTGAAAAGTCATAGCTTTCATTTTTGAGCAAGGACTAAGCCAGTTCTCCATTGAGTTTTTCTTCTATTACAGTATGCAGCTACTTGAACTTAGCATTTAAGTATGACTCAGCTCACCATGCTAACTGCATTTTCCAAAAAGGAATACTTATGTTCGTTTAACTTTGTCTGCTCATGTATTCCAAGCCATCCTCGTTCTTTCCTATAAATGGTCTCCTCCTTGATTCAAATTTTGCAGGTACAAAGTCAATCTTTTGGACTGTGTATGTTTAAGGTAATGATAGAATGAATATGAGTTTTATTTTGTTTCCACGAAATTGTAAAGAAACTGGTACTTTTTTTCTAAGATCCCACAAGCAGGGAGCAGAAGGATGGACAACAGCGTAATTGTACAGGCTTGTGTGTTGATACAATACATGGTAACTGCTTTAGTAGATCTACGACTTACAATGGTAGTGGAACAAGCCAAGATCAAGCCTGTCTACACAGCAGAACACTCAACATACTCTGTCATTGGGGTCATCAGGTACCTCAGAGCTGGGAGTGAAACTGCAATGGCTTGAAGACAGCAGGTAACAGCAGAAGTACTTGAGTCCTTGTCTAACTTAAGTTAGGAAGATGATATAACACTGGGAAGGATGCTTTAAATGTACAGTCTGTAACTCAAGCAGGCAACTGTTCCTTTCCATAGCTGGTAAGTTACTAGTAATCTCTTTCCAGAAAGGGTAGAACTGATGGTCTTTACACAGATTTTTTGAAGATGTAGATAAAGAAGATTACTTGAATGAACTGTATTGAATGTTGAAAGAAACTCCCACCACCAATACCCCTACATCATGCATGGCCAATTTCCTTACTTTGTTCTTAAATATTGGAAACAGGGATTAATCTTTTGGAATACCTTTGCCAAATAAGATAAAACACTAGAGTTAGCCCCAGATTTGAAGATCAGATAAATAGCAGTAACGTTTTAGCATAAATGTAGCCCAAACATTGAATGAAATGCACAAATTTTTGTTGTTGTCTTTATTATCTATTTAAACCCCAAATTTGCCTAGGAATTCTGTATTCTTCTTTACTAAATTAGGCAATTCTATTGAAGAAGAAAATTAGATAGAGTCAGTATTGTAACACAGTGAGTAAAGTCACTGCATGTGATACCAAAATTGCATATGGAACAGTTCCTGTCCATCTGTTCCATGTCTGACCCCTGCTAGTCACCTGGGGAAAATAGTGAAAGATGGCCCAAGTATATGGGTTTGTGCCACCCATGTTGGAGACCTGTTTGTAGCTCTTGGCACTTGACCCCTGGTTCCTGGCTCATGACTTTAGTTGATTATATTGCTGGCTGTTGCAGCCAACTGTCTCTCCTCCTCTCTATCTGACTTTTCAATAAAAAATAAATCTTTTTTTTTAAGTATTTTGTCAATACTTTTCTTTCTCCAAAGACAATGTTAGGTCTCCCAATAAGATGCATGCCAGTTTTCCTTTGTAGAATTTATCAGAATTAAAATTAAATAGCAATTTTCTTGGCTTTGTGCTTGATATTTGTCTTTTAAGTATAAGGTCTGTGAAGGCAGTGACTATGTCAATCTTTCTCACTTTAACAGTCCCAAGACTAGCACATATCTGAACACAGTAAGCATGACATAAATACATGGGGAGTGAAAATAAAATCCACATATTCTGGAAGAAGATAACTAGAGATTTAAAGATCTTCAGGGGTTGGTCCAAGGCCAGCTAACTACTACTGGAAACGTAGAAGTTCACCCAGTATCATTGCATTGCAGAACACATATTAACCTGCATCTTGCTCAAGCCCCTGGATTAACCTGCTGGTTGTGAGCATGCTTTTATCCCTAACCACTTGTATTGCGGGGAAACAGGTCCTACAGTCTCAAAGACCTAGATGCTGTTGGTCTGGGTGCCCCCTTTGTTGGGAAGGTAAAGGGATGACAAAGAGTGCAGGTGGTGCTCTAAAGAGAAAAAATTAAATGTGTTTGGTAAGGAAGATAAACTTCCCTCATCTATGCATCCACTATTTACCCCAAAATATTTTGAAATAAAATTCTCTCGGTATCCTCAGAGGACTTCTTTTTAGGACTGTTCTGCCACTTCAACAATCTAGGCAGATAACACATTAGGAAAACGATCAAGCTGATATAAATGTATATAACCTATACATATCCTTTGCTAATATCACCTCTGCATTACTTGCCATACCTAATATAGTGTCCATTCCATATTAATAGCCATTTTACTGTATTATCTAGGAAAACAGAAGAAATCTACATTTCAACTCAGATGCAATTTTTCTGTTTTCTAAACACGACAGATTCAGTTGGTTGAAGCTGTAGATGTGGAACCTAGTCGGGCATGACTGTGTCCAGGCTGCTCCCCATCTCCTTCCACTCTCCTATTTCAACTGTTTTCTTCAGTGTCTTCTATCACACTGTACTCTACAAAAAGCAATTGCCTTCCTCCCTACTTCCTTAAAGTTCTTACAAAAATTTCCACACATTCACTAAAAATGCTTACAAAGTTTGTGCGGCAACATGCAGGTTAACTTCACTTTGCCTTTTCTCCCTTTAATTAAGAAGTAGGCTATATTATCAATGGAGAATTTTCCTCGTAGTATTTCATCATAGAGTGAAAGATTATCAATATAATGCAATAGTAAAATCCCTGGCCCTCAATGCCAAAATCCAAAATTCCACGAAAATAAAGGACTTGTGGTCCAGTGCTACAATGCAGCCAGCTGAAGCATCTCTTGTGATGCCAGCATCTCTTAATTGCCAATTCAAGTCCCAGTTGCTCCACTCTCAATCCAGTTCCCTGCTAATTTACCTGGGAAAGGAGTGGAAGATGGCTGAAGAGGTTGGCCCTGTGCTCCTCATACAGGAGACCAAGATGGGGTTCTGCACTCCTGACTTGGTCCTGGCACAGCCTTGGCAGTTGTAGCCATTTGGGGCATGAATTAGTGAGTGAAAGATTCTATTTCTCATCTCTCATCCTTCCCTCTCTGTAACACTGCCTTTCAAACAAATAAAATAAATTATTTTTAGAAAAACAAAAAAAGTTCCTTAGGTAGAAACCTATGCTACTATTAAGCTTGTTGTATTAAAGTTAATATGAAAATCAATAAAGAAAACTATCGCTTACAAATCAATGATGTCCCAGTACAGCCACTGCCAATTTGCACATGACTCACACGAGGTACCTGTCATGCAGGTGCTGCTGTTGCGGGTATTTGTATTGGATGTTACGGTGGTACATAAGTGAGATACCTAATAAAGCCAAAAAGCTGGAAGGAATGGCATGGGAAGTGTCTGGACAGCCATTTTGGTGAAGACAATACTTGAAAGGTGTTACAAAAGTGAATTGGGAGTCACCACAGGTAAAGGAAATAGCATATACAAATCTCCAGAGGTTCTTAGGTTTAAGCAAGCTGGGGTGAGAAAGTGTCTTAGCTTGTGAAAACTCAAATGTGAACAAAAGTGAGAAGAGGATAGAAAGTAAAAAAGGACCACAAAGTTTTGTGAGTCTTTTATGCTGCAAAATTCGGCTTGTTGGATCATAGTCGATGCTTTAGGTATGAGAGCAATACGATCATAAATGGCCTCTGTGGGATTTTTTAAAACTACAGTGTAGGGGGGGGAAAGAAGATGGCCGACGTAGGAGGAAGGCTGTGAGGGAGCGTCCAGAGAAAGAGGGATAGAAAGTTATAGAAGCAGCAAAGAGGAACAGCAGGGAATCGCAGGGAGAGGTCCGTGAGGCTCCCTAGGACAGTGTGGAGCCAAAAAGATCCACACAACTCGGAAGAACAGCGAGAACGGAGCAGGGCAAAGGTAGAGAAACCGACATCCCACTCCAGACCTGCTGAGTCACTTTTGAAAACGGCCTGACGGGAGACGCAGACAGCCCGGAGGCGGGGAGATGGGGCGGATCGTCGCCGGCGGGAGGTGGAGGCAGACTGCAGCGGCCGGACGTTTGGTGAGGGGGGGGGGTTGACGTGGCAGCCTCCGCATTCCTTGACCCCTACTGAGGTTCCAGCCTCTGAGAACGCGGGGCAGACAGACTGAAACTGTTGGGTTTGTGCCTTGGGAACTACACACAGTGGTGTTGGTGGCTGAGGGGGCCCCAGGAAGGCGCCTCGGATGTTCCTACACTGAGGGGGCCAGTGCGTCTCAGTGCGCAGAGGCTGCTGGCGAGGATCTGGAGTCCTCCACATCCTGCCTGGTGGAAGCGCGAGAACATCAGGAAGACCCTGGTCGCTGCGCCGAGCGGACTAGGCGGCCCCGCCTGCAGCAGCCGCCTCCACAGCGCAGGTGTCAGGTGTCAGGTGTTAGGAGAGCTTTGAGATTTGGGAAGTGTAGCGCTGTGTGTCCCCGACACGCAGGTACCACTCCCATAGGGTGAACTGCTCACCCCTCGCCTCCCACCCCGCAGTTCTGAGCGTGGGCGACCCACCAGGAGAGCTCTGAAAACTCCTGCACCACACTGACACGGTGTGAACCTGCCGTGAAATTATAACAGGGCGCCTGGGCCACTCCTCCGCTAAGGGCCGGTGTGAGAGAGCCACACAGGAGCAGGGGCTCTGAACACCCACACACC